TGGAGACAACAGATGCTGGAGAGGATGTGGAGAAACAGGAACACTTTTACACTGTTGGTGGGAGTGTAAATTAGTTCAACCATTGTGGAAGACAGTGTGGCAATTCCTCAAGGATCTAGAAATAGACATTCCATTTGATCCAGCAATCCCATTACTGGGTATATACCCAAAGGACTGTAAATCATTGTATTATAAAGACATGTGCACACACATGTTCATTGCAGCACTGTTTACAATAGCAAAGACCTGCAATCAACCCAAATGCCCATCAATGATAGACTGAACAAAGGAAATGTGGCACATATATACCATGGAATACTATGAAGCCATAAAATATGATGAGTTATTGTCCTTTGTAGGGACATGCATGAACCTGGAAACCATCATTCTCAGCAAACTGACACAAGAACAGAAAATCAAACCCCGCATGTTCTCACTCATAGGCAGGTATTGAACAATGAGAACACATGGACACAAAGAGGGGAGCATCACACACTGGGTCTATTGGGGGCAGGTAGGGGAGGGATAGTGGGAAGGAGGGTGGGGGGGGATAATGTGGGGAATATCAGGTATAGGTGATGGGGGGTGGAGGCAGCAAACCACCTTGCCATGAATGAACCTATGCAACAATCTTGCATGATCTGCACATGTACCCTAGCATCTAAAGTACAATAAAAAAAAAGAGGAGTTTTAGGTTCATGGCAAAATTGAGTGAAAGGTACTGAGAGTTTCTGTATACTCACAGCCCCTACTCATGCAGCCTCCCCACTACCAATATCCACACCAGAGATGTTTGTTACACTGTAACAAATGTTATCGAACATCATATTTGTTACAGCTGATGACCTTGCAGGTCACACTCACCCAGAGTCCACAGTTTACTTCAGGGCTCACTCCTGGTGCTGCATGTTCTATGGGTTGGACAAACATACGATGACATGGATCCACCATTAGCATGTCACACAGAGTAGTTCCCCTGCCCCAGAAACCTTCTGTGCTCCACCTCTTTATCCCACTCTTCTTCCTAACCCCTGGCCCTCACTGCCCTTTTTTTGGTCTGCATTGTTTTGCCTTTCCCAGAATGTCCTGTATTTGGAATCTTAACAGTCTGCAGCCTTTCAGGTTGGCTTCTTTCCTTGGCAGTGTGCATTTAGGATACCTCCATGTCCTTTCATGGCTGGGGCTCCTTTTTCACAACATCTTATCCCCATGGTTTTTTTTTGCTGTGCTGGGAAGGAGAGAGATGTGGAAGAAACTTTCGGTTTCCCCAGGACAAACCTCTGTCCCCATGTGCAGTGGTGGTGGGGGAGGTGGATGACGGCAATGTTGCCGTAAAGGAAGAGGGAGACATGGTGGCTGCTGAGACCTCCAGGCAGGAGCAAGAAGCAAGCCCTCTCCCCACTCACCCTCCTCTCTGAGCCTTCCCCACTCTACCCTGGCCAGCTGTTGCCTGCCACCAAGCGCTCTGACACCTTCTGTGATGTGCTGGGCTGCCCTTACTTCCTGGCTTTCCTCCCTCTGCGTCCTGTTTCTCCCACCCCTCCTCCCATGCCCTCCTTCCATTCATTTTCTTCCTACCACATCAGCCGCTTCTCAACTCTCCCAAACACCCATCAGAACGCACCTGTGTGCTGCGCTCCCAGTTTGCTCTGCTTCCAGCTTTTGCCCTTACGCTGATCTCTGACTCATTCTTGAAGTTGAACAGACCCCGCCCTGCAGGGAGGGACAAACTCTGGGTGCGAGGACGCTGGCTGCTCAGTACACATTTCCTGGGTCTGTTTCCTGACAAGTGCCGCCTTCTACAAGGATTTGCTTTGGCTTCTCTGTGACGAGCTGGGCAATGCCATAATCTGTTAATGTAGGTGGCACATTTTAGAGGCAGAGATAAGGACAAGGGGCCATTTCTTAGCTGGGAGTCTTAAGAAGCTGACAGATGGACCAGGGGAGGGACTGATAGAGGCTGGCACCCACAGCAAAGCAGAGAATTCGACCACATGTAGGACACCAGAGGCAGAACCATTTGGGAGAATCAGCCACTCAAGATGAGCTGTGAACCTTGGCGGCTTTTTAACCATCGTTGGGACCCTCATCAGATTCAGAAAGGAGGAGGGGCTTGGCTGAGAGAAAGCTGGCCAGGGTAGCTAGGGCTATGCACAGAGCAGAGAGGGGACAGGACACTGGGGCAGGTAGTATCCATGCAGCGGGGGGACAGTGCTAACATGGCTTTGTCAGGTTGAGAAGGGCGAAGATGGCAACGTGGTGATCGGCTGAGCTCCTGGGTGGAAGGGAAGGAGTAAAGTCAGGAAAAGTGCATGGCTCAGGACCACCAAGCGGTCGTCATCGCCCATGACCAAGGTTTTGTTGCTCAGGGATCACGCACTGCTTTGTGGTTCTAGGGATTTTGTATTTCTCATCATCATCCTTCCTGCTGCCTGCATGGCAAGTCATTTCAGTGTGCACTGGCCACTAGATGAAGGACGGTGAAAACACTTAGTCAACCTGATGCTTGCTTGCAATTCCAGAAGGTCTTTTGTGTCTCTGAGGAAGGGGATTCATCTTAAATGTTAAAATGATGATTGATACAAAGACAATGAAAGCTAATATCTTTCACCCTCAGTGTTCAAGAGGACTGTGAGAGATGCATTCTCAATTATGGGCTCACCAACTCCATGGAGAACTGGGGAGATTTGGATCAGAAGAGAGTTCCAGGAACAACCTGATTTTGAGGACTACAATCTGTTTCTATTCCACAGAGGAAACCACAACAAAGTTAATGGACTGAGGACCGATTAAGAAAAGAGACTGGCAAAGATTAAAAGGGAGCAGGACCACATGCAAATGATGGAGTTGGACCCTTCCCCACATGGAAATGGACTCAAAAGGGACCAAAGACGTACATGTAAGAGCTAAAACTGTAAAAATCTTAAAGAAAACATAGCAGTCAATCTTCTTGACTTTGCATCTAATTCTTTGATGTGACCTCAAAGCACAAATAACCAAAGAAAAAAAATAGGTAATTGGATATCATCAGTATTAAAAGACTTTTATGCTTCAAAGAACATCCACAAGAAAGTGAAAAGACAAACCGTAGAATGGGAGGAAATATTCACAAATTATATATCTGGTAAAAAAATTGTATCTAGCCTATAAAAATACCTCTTCCAATTCCATAATAAAAGACAAATAATCCAATTAAAATGAGCAAAAGATCTGAATAGATGTTCCCTCCAGGAAGACATACCCATGGCCAACATGCACTTGGAAAGGTGTTTAGCATCATTAGTCATCAGGGAGATGCAAATCAAAACCACCATGAGATATCACTTCACACCCACTAGGATGGCTAGAATTCAAAAGCAAGGTAATAACAGGTAAGGCAGGAGGCAGAGAAACTTGAAGCCTCACTGGCAGTTGATGGTGAAATGATGCAGCCACTTTGGAAAGCTGTCTGGCTGTTCCTCAAATGACTTAACGTTTTTATCACATAACCCAGCAATCCCACTCTTGGGTATATACTCAAGAGAAAGGAAAACATATGTCCACATGGAAACATGTACCCGAGTGTTTACTGCAGCATTATTCACAATAGCCAAATGGTGGAGACAACTCAGATCTCTCCCCATTGATAAATGAGTCAACAAAATGCGGTCTATCCATTCAATGGAACATTATTCAGTCATGAAAAGGAATGAATCACTGCTATATGATACAACGTGGATGAACCTTAAAACCACTATAGCAGATGAAAGAAGCCAGTCACAAAAGACCACATATTATTCCATTTATATGAAACGTGTGGGATAGGAAAATCTCTCAAGTAGATGAGAAGCACATTAGTGGTTGCTTAGGGCTGGGGTGCAATGGAGGGAAGGGGTGAGAGCTAATGTGTACGGGGTTTCCTTTTGAAGTTTCTAAAAAGTTCTAAAATTGAAGGTGATGGTTGCATGTACCTGTGAATATACTAAAGTACATTGAATTATACACTTTACATGGGTGAATTGTAAGGTATGTCTCAATGAAGCTGTTTTCAAAAAGTGACAGGAATAATAATTAGAATATACAAGGAACTCTTGCAAATCATCCAGAAAGAGGCAGCAGTCCCTATGGAAACCTGGTGAAGAATCCCAAAGGCAACTTACAGAAGAGACACCTGAAAGGGCTAAAGAGCATATGGAAAGATGCTCAAATGTGGTGGTTACTAGAAAAATGCAAAGAATTCAACAATGAGATATAATCGTATACAGGACAGCTGCATGATGCCAAGTGTTGACAGAGAGATGGGGAAATGGGGATCCTATGCGTGGTTGTGGGTCGGGGTTGATGGTAAAACCATTCTGTAGTGCACTTTGCAGGGCGTGGGCAGATGAGAGAACTGCATGCTCTCCAGACTCAGCAATTCTGCCTCTGGACTATATGTCAAAGAGGTTCTCACCCAGGTGCAGAGATGGGAAGCAGACACAAGTGGCTGTGAGAATGGGGAGCTGGAGGCCGTCAGCAGGGTGGTCACCACCACCACGTGCTTTGCATCTGGTGGATGCAAAGGCATGGATGTCCACACAGCCACTCCTGAGAATAGATCTCAGGATCATGGAAGACGCAGAATGAATGACAGCACGATGCTGTTACACAACAGGAAACATATACTCACCAAGTCACCTACTTTCAGGAATGGATACACATTAGAATGGATATGTGGTTGGGGGTGGGAGTGGGAATACACACATACACATGTGAGAAAGATAAGAGAGAGGCCTTGTATGGGCCAGTGTTGACGACATCCATGCACTGAGGTAGAATAAATAAATAAAAGGCCCGAGAGACAAACTGAGTGACTGCAGGTCCTCACACCAGGGTAGATGTGGCTGAGGACAGGAACCACCGCAGGTCCTGCACCTGGAGGATGTAGTAAGGGCAGGGAGGAACGCTGCGTGAAGGCAGGGAGTTGCAGCACCCCAGAAAGAATTGCAATTTTTATGTAATGGGCACAGGTACATAGAAAGATGAATATTGCAAGGTGGCTCAGAGTAAGTGCAACACAATCACGCCCAAGAGCCTGTCCTGGAGGGGCTTGGAAGGAGATTCCCCTGAAGACTGCAAGTCCTGGGACTCTTCCCTCTGCAGTAGCCTCCAAAGCTGCTGTCACAGAGGACCACACACGGGGTCTTAAAGCAACAGAAATGGGACGTCTCACAGTTCTGGAGGCCTGAAGTGTGAAATGAAGGTGTTGGCAAGGCCATGCTCCCCTTGGAAGGCTCAAGAAGAGGGTCCTTCCTCTCCCCTTCCAGCTTCTGCGTTGCCGACAATCTTTGGCGTCCCTCAGGGTCTTGGCTTGTGGCCGTGTCACTCCAATCTCTGTCCTCACATGTCGTCTTCCTTATCTCTGTGCCTCTTTCTACAAGGACACCAATGATTGTATTGAAGGCCTACCCAACCCCGATATGACATCATCCTAACCAATTCACCTGCAACGATCCTATTTCCAAATAAGACCAGATTCTGAGGTTCCAGGAAGGACATGAATTTTTGGGGGAATGCTGTGCAACCCAGCACACCTTCTTTACCTGCCTCCTTGCAGAGAGGATGGTCCTTGGCCAGTGGGTGAATCCCAGGCCCTGTGCTCTGGGAGGCTGCGGCCCTGAGGATCCACAGGGAAGAGCCCGTGTGGGGTTTTGTGATACATGAGGGACTTAGGAGGAAGAGGGCACACTGGGCAGGGGGCAGGCAGGAGCAGAGTCCTGAGTTGACATGCGGTGTGTTTCCCGGCATGGGGAAGGGTCAGGGTTGGTGGGGGGAGTGGGGTGTGGTTTCTGTCCCTGTGCTGAGGAAGTGCAGGTGGGGTGTCTGAGGAGGTCAGAGTGAGGAACCTCCCCATGCACTTCTAGAGAAGAGTGGGGTGAAGGGGGATTTGTGGGAATCCTATAGAGACAGAGGAGACAGAGAAGCCTCCAAGAGAGGCCTTGGGAAAGCTGAGGCGAGCAGACTCCCTGTGCAAAAAAACTGGGGTAAGTCTGTTGTGTTATATATGTATTTGTAGAGATGGGGTCTTACTATGTTGCCCAGGCTGGTCTTAAACTCCTGGCGTCAAATGATCCTCCTGCATTGGCCTCCCAGAGTGCTGGGATTACAAGCGTGAGTGACCATGTCTGGCCAAGGCACGTGTGTGCACACTGTGGCTGGGGGCTTGGATGTCACACTTGGAATCTGGGCTTCGGGGCCTTGTCACCTCTCTTCCTGCTCCCTGGCTTGGTTGGCCCCTCTGTACTGTAGGTGACCTTGGTTTCTGACGTGCAGTTTCTCGCTTGTGAGGTTAATGATTGCTGACAGTTAGAGACAGCACTCGGGCAAAGACTGTTAGCTTCCAGTTGTTGGCTGCATGCCTTTCTCAAAGAGGTCCCCTGGGGAGGGGCAGCGCTATATGCAGAGAGACATGGTGTCCTGGAGCTAGGAGGATAGACGTCACAGCTCACAGATGTGGCTAAATCTTGATACTTTGCTTTCAGAAAGTCACAACCCATCAGAGCTGATTTGAGAGGATCTAGAGAGTGGGATTATTTCCACGAATCACAGAGAAGAAACAGAGCCACCTGCGCCTGCACCAGGGCCTGCTGGGGGTGCGCCAGGGAAGCCACTCGATGAGATCTTTATGTGAATGAAGCCAACATCATAGTTTTTGTCTCTGATTAGGGAAGGCTGGTTTGCAAAAAAGAAAGTTCTACTATTTTCCGAGGC